GGGATCATATGCACTTCGTAATACATTTTTAAACAAGAATTTATATGGGACTGAAATATTGTCGTAATTGTTTCAACAACAACCCTTTGCAAATGAGGGAAAGGGCCACTTTGGAGAGGTCTGACTTTAGATGGTGATGATTGACTAGTTCCTAGCAAATCTGTTTATTCTATTTTAACATCGCTGGTCCACTGTGTTGTGCTAAATTTGTTTGTAGGGCATGGCCATTGATAATTTGTTTTCCTATAACAATAAACTAATCTTTCATATTAACAACAAATATTTTTAAAATTAAAATAATTGGGGCGAGCCTGAGAGAGCCCCACATAAACGACACAAGTATGTAAGCATGTTTGTCACATACGTCACCTCTAATTATGCGTTTTTGAAAAATAATAATTACACTTTTTGAATGATAATTTTGATAAATGCGCTACCACCTGCAAAAAAAAGCAGAAATCAGTCAACAGTTTATAGAGAAGTCTACAATAATGAATCGTTCACAAGAAGATACTCGTGAAGCTCGTAGACTTCGTCGTAACAAGTGTGATTGGGAGAGAAGGAATGAGGCTCAGCAACAGAAAGCAAGGTGGGACAAAAGGAATTCTGGAGATAGGTCTCATTGCAACCGAAGACAACTGGTGTCTCCTTCAGAGAGAGAAGATCATCTGTCTCAAGAAAGAGCCACGATACGAAGGAGAAGGGAACAAGAGGAACCTGCTCAGAGAGAGCGAAGATTAGCAGGTGAAAGAGCTCGGGTTACACTGAGGAGAGAGGAAGAGGACCCTGCCAGGAGACAGCATTGCTTAGCAGGTAATAGAGCTTGTTCTGCATTGAGAAGAGAGGAGGAAGACCCTGCTGAGAGGAAACAACGGCTTGCTGTCCATAGAGTTTGGGCTACATTGCATAGAGAACAAGAGGCCCCACTGAGAGAGAGGAATGACTGGCTGGTAATAGAGCTAGGACTGCTCAACGCTGGAGACTAGAGCAGGATGAAGAGGTTTTGCCTATTAGCACACAGAAGTTGAATCTTCACAAGACACTTTCTTCCATTACTTCTGCTAGATGCGAGACATGTTTGGAAAGCTTTCCCAACCTGTCAGTCTCCTCTCAGCCGAATGGGGTCATGGAGTGTAGGAGGTGCGCTCATGACAGACACATCCCAAAGTTGTTCTCAAAAGGCAACAATATAAATCCTGGAGTAGTGCCAGCACAATTGCAGGTATATTTTTATTTATAAGCAGTTATTATTATTATTGTCATCATTTTTAATTTTTATAATAATTATATTTTCTTTATTATTATAGGGACTGTCACAAGCAGAAGAAATGTTAATATCTGCTGTATTGCCAGTGATGTCAATATACAAGCTACCTCATGGACAATACGGCTACAGTGGACATGTTCTGAACTTCCCGCAGTCCTTTGCTACTTCACTACCACGTCTAGCAGCAGACATCAGTGTACT